CCGCTGAACAGGGAGCCCGATATGGGGCTCAATACCAGGACCTGGGATCATGACCTGAGCCGAAGGCAGACGCTTAATGACTGAGCCACCCAGGCACCTGCCTTTTTAAAGAACAAAACAAAACAAAACAGACTTAAGAATGTACTTCATGCGGTAAAAATGATTGATTTTATTAAATTTTAGCCTGGTAGTACATAGCTTTTTTTTTTTTTTTTTGGTAGTACATAGCTTTTTAATATTCTCTGTTACTAAATGGGGAGTTTGCATTAAGCCCATCTGCTGTGTACCAGAGAGGAGGAAACCACCTGTGTCACCCTCTGAGTTGCAAGCATAACGAGCCCCACTTCTCACAGAATACCGTTTTTATAGGAAAGAATGACTGATAGACATCTGGTTATTCAGACTCGGGTACTTGGCAGACACGATCCTCAGAAATGAATGGTGCAGGGCGCCTGGGTGGCTCAGTTGGTTGGGCGGCTGCCTTCGGCTCAGGTCATGATCCTGGAGTCCCTGGATCGAGTCCCGCATCGGGCTCCCTGCTCGGCAGGGAGTCTGCTTCTCCCTCTGACCCTCCTCCCTCTCATGCTCTCTGTCTCTCATTCTCTGTCTCGCAAATAAATAAAATCTAAAAAAAAAAAAAAAAAAAATGAATGGTGCATATGTGTCCCTTCAAGGAAAACAACTGGCAGTATCTATTACCAATGATATAATTTGAGCTTTCGAGGAAAATTATAGTTTTTGGAAACTGGAGTCCACCATCATGCGCTTACTAGCTTTCCACCAGTCAAAAACTTTTCTGATGAGAGCACTAGGGATGTTCACAAAGGTGACTTTTAAAATATTGTAGGATAGAAGGTGTCAACATCTGGAATATCAGCGTAACTTAGCGAACCCCTATTTTCCAAATGATCAATGCATAATGTTACAAAGTCATGCATGGGTAAAAGATCCACGCAAAGTACAAAATAGGCTGGTGGGTTTTATTTTATTTTAAATATTTTATTTATTTATTTGCGAGAGAGAGAGTGAGAGTGTGTGTGTGTGTGAGCCAGGGGAGTGGCAGAGGGAGAAGGAGAAGCAGACTCCCCACTGAGCGGGGAGCCTGAGGAGGGTCTCGATCCCAGGACCCTGGGGATCACGACCCAAGCCAAAGGCACACGCTTAACTGACTGAGCCACCCACGTGCCCCTAGGCTGATGGATTTTAACAAGAATAGTATGAAATTGATGTGGTTTCGGATTCCACACTGCAGTTAACCTTTCAGAAATGACCACTTCTTAAATTTTGATCTTCATATCTATACTAATTTCATAGGACTGACATAACAAACTACCAGCACTAGGTGGCTTAGAAGAACAGAAATGTATTGCCTCACAGTTCTGGAGGCCATAAGTCTGGAATCAAGGTGCCCACGTTCTCTCTGAAAGCTCTAGCAGAAAAATCCTCCTGGCCTCTTCCATCTTCTGGGAGCTTCAGATGCTCCTCAGCTTGTAGAAGCATAATTCCTATCTCTGTCCCCACCTTCACATGACCTTCTCCTTGTGTTTCTTCACACTGTCTTCCTTCTATATATATCTGCATCCATATTTCTCTTTTATAAGGACACCAGCCATATTGGATTAGGTCCCACTCTAATGCCCTCCTCTGAACTTGAGTAAATCTGCATAGACCCTATTCCAAATAAGGTCACATTCTGAGGTACTGGGAGTTAGGACATCAACACATTTTTTGGGAGGCAGAAAATCAAACCAATAACAGCATCAAAGAATAACTACACTTAACTGGAAAGGCTGTTACTTCTTCTGTAGCCAACACTTCTCTGTGGGAGGCCAGATTTTCTTCATATCCTGCAACCAAAACAACAATAAATCACAATTTACAGGCTCTGGGGATTAGAATGTTACCTTTTTTGGGTGGTAGTGGGACACTATTCTGCTCACCACAGGCTGACAGAGCCGATTGAAAAGGTGAAATCCTAGAGGAGAACATAGGCAGTAACCTCTTTGACATCGCCCACGGCAACTTCTTTCAAGATACATCTCCAAAAGCTAGTGAAACAAAAGCAAAAATGAACTTTTGGGACTTCATCAAGATAAAAAGCTTCTGCACAGCAAAGCAAACAGTCAACAAAACAAAGAGGCAACCCACAGAATGGGAGAAGATATTTGCAAATGACACTACAGATAAAGGGCTGGTATCCAAGATCTATAAAGAACTTCTCAAACTCAATCCCCAAAAAACAAATAATCAAGTCCAAAAGTGGGCAGAAGATATGAAAAGACACTTCTCTGAAGAAGACATACAAATGGCTAACAGACACATGAAAAAATGTTCATCATCATTAGCCATCAGGGAAATCCAAATCAAAACCACACTGAGATACCACCTTAGTCCAGTTAGAATGGCAAAAATGGACAGGGAAAGAAACAACAAATGTTGGAGAGGTTGTGGAGAAAGGGGAACCCTCTTACACTGTTGGTGGGAATGCAAGTTGGTACAGCCACTTTGGAAAACAGTGTGGAGGTTCCTCAAAAATTTAAAAATAGAGTTACCCTATGACCCAGCAATTGCGCTCCTGGGTATTTACCCCAAAGACACAGATGTAGTGAAAAGAAGGGCCATATGCACCCCAATGTTCATAGCAGCAATGTCCGCAATAGCCAAACTGTGGAAAGAGCCGAGCTGCCCTTCAACAGATGAATGGATAAAGAAGATGTGGTCCATATATACAATGGAATATTACTCAGCCATCAGAAAGGATGAATACCCAACTTTTACATCAACATGGATGGGACTGGAGGAGATTATGCTAAGTGAAATAAGTCAAGCAGAGAAAGTCAATTATCATATGGTTTTACTTATTTGTGGACCATAAGGAATAGCATGGAGGACATTAGGAGAAGGAAGGGAAAAATGGGGGGTGGGAATTGGAGGGAGAGATGACTCATGAGAGACTATGGACTCTGAGAAACAGGGTTCTAGAGGGGAAGGGGGAGGGGGGATTAGTTAGCCCGGTGATGGCTATTAAGGAGGGCACGTACTGCATGGAGCACTGGGTGTTATATGAAAACAATGGATCGTGGATCACCGCATCAAAAACCAATGATGTATTGTATGGTGACTAACATAACATAATAAAATAGAAAAAAAAAAAGAAAAGGTGAAATGTGGGGACAGACCTAGGAGAGGACAACACATGTCACTAAGAACGAGTCAGAATATAAGGATTTAAGGACAAATATAAATGTTACTGAAATTTTTACTTCTATCACTCATGTCTGTGGCTTTTTTCAGCTGGTGTGGGTTATTAAGAGCCGACACTGGCTGTTCATAACAATATAGCTACCATTTGTATCCACATACCACTTCATTTAGCTGAGGCTGAACCCAGGTCTCCCACACTTCAATTTCAGGTACTCACCCCTAGCTTCAATTCCTTTCTGGGAGGAAGACTAGTCTATATTCTTAAAACTCTGAGTTGCTCTACTGTGTCACTGAAGACCATTAAGCATCTGAGATAATCTCTTTCTAAAGCAACAATGTTTCAGCAGAAATCAATATGATATACTAGGAGATTTTTGTTAAAAGTGGAGGGGTCTTTTTAAGTGGCTTATGCAATCAGAGCCTACAACGAATTTAAAGAAAACTTCAGAGCATATGGCATTCTGATATCTTCAAAGTGTGGTTTGATGGGACCAGCAGTGAACATGAAGAGGAGGTATGATTTAAAAGAAAGCTGTTGGAGTACTGTGTTGCAAATAAAATCTAAGAAGGCACTTTGCAATTCAGTTTTCTGTTTCTTTTTTTTTTTTTCTCCTGGTGTTTTATTGCTGCCTTGCACTCCCAAACACTATAAATGTTCCTTGCCAGTTTTACATTCTAAAATTCTAACTTGGTCGTGTTCTCTGCAAGAATGTGACACTCACTTCTCCGGGCGTACTGGAAAGAAGGAATGCCACAGCTTAGCTAAAGAAGGGGATGTAAAGGTGGTCTATGTCTTTGGTAATGTGTCACCTACTCTCATTTTTATCCATAACCTCATCCCCGAATGGCAGCATTTGGATAAAATGACCTTCCGAATCCTTCCAGTCCTAGAAGTCTGCGACCCTCCAGGGATTTCCACCCACCAAATCCATGTCGGTGTCCCATGGTTGATGAGAGCATTCCACTCCCGCAGGGACACAGACTGAAAGAGGAATGGTGTTTTTCAGGGCTTTGGTGCTTTTCAGGGCTCACACCTCAGAGCCATCAGCACAGACCCAGGTCAGGAGGGCCTGCTTCTGCCAAGGTGCGCTGGGAAGGCAGGAGGCAGAGCGGGAGTCCTGGCAGAGAAGGGTTCCTGAGACCTGGGGTCACAGTGCCGCCCTAGTTTGGAGGCTATTAAGGCCTGGGGTTTCAGTGTGAGGTCTGAGGACCAGCAACAAAGGCATCACCTGATGACGATTTTGTTAGAGACTCTCAGGCCCCGCTCCAGACCTGCAAGATCAGAGTCTGCCTATTAAGGAGAGTGCCAGGTGATTCCTGTGCTCTTAGAAGTTTGGGAATCCTTTGGTTAAGCATGGCTGAGCGCTCCCACTTTGCCTCTCAGCGTGGCAATGGCCAGGCCCCGAGTTAGGCGAGTGTCTGCTGTCCCACGGCAGGAGGGGAGACCTGCGGAGAGGCGGGCGCGGTGCCCCCGGCAGCCTGGCTGGGTCCGGGGCAGCGAGGCCCCGGGAGCTGGCGGCGCCGATGCTCCCCACGCCCCGCCCACGGCCCCAGCC